CAGCGCATGTCCTTAGTGCTCACATCTGCAAAGAAAGGTCACCCGCACGGCCCTGTTTGATCGATGGTAGACGCCGCATCGACTCTGTCGGGGGAGAAGATTGGTGAGCGGATGTGCTTTCTTTCTGTGCCACATCTCCTTGCCGCGGCACATCCAAAATATACATGGAAGTGGCATCATGAAATATCCTAAGTTGTTGGATTTCACCAGCTATAATATAGGATTATATAGGTGTCCAATTTCAGAGTGGAAGTTATACTAAGTTGCTGGGCTAGGAGTTCACACTCCAGCTGGGTAGATTGAGACCCAAGAACTTGGAGCCAGGACGCCCTTTTGAACGTTTAATGACTTAAAATGCTTGGTTGCAAGGACCAAGGACCTGTTCCAGGAGGCGTCCCTCCACAAAAAGCACAGTTCTTTTGGATGATAAGAGGAGGTAATTACTCCTTACTGTAATTCATTGGGATTGGACATGATTCATATAACCCCCTGCACCCAAAAAGAAACATGGACGCCCCCAAAACCACGACCGCTTGCATGCGGAAAGTGCTCGGACTCGTCAATTCTCAGACTCCAAACGACTCTGCCGGACAACATCGACGGTGAACCAATCCTTTCCGCCAATCCTTGGGGTGTTTGTGTGGCCAATCCTTCCATTCGTCTTCTCATCTCATCAGAAACTGAGCGAATCGCAGCCACTGAGCGAATGGTGTTTCCTCTTTTCCAAGCGCCGTGGGGCCCTCCTGATGGGTCCGAAGTGCACCGGGTCCCCCACTCCGGTCCCACTCCCACATCGCTCGACATGGGTCGACCAGTGAAGTTGCGCTCGCTCAAGGTCTCCTGCGTAGCGTTGCGTGCACGGCGTAGTGCCGTGGCGTTCGGACGAGCGGTCGTCCACCAAGGCGACGTGTGTCCGTCAGAGATAGTGGCACGGTCAACAATGTTGAGTGGTGAGAGGAACACTGTTCCGTCATTTTCGATCTATTTTGGGATCTATTAAAGAAAAATGTTCACGGTATTTAAATGTTATTTATGCCTGTGTTCCTAGAACCACCCAGGAAACCCGATGGTGGACGGTGCAAAAAAAAGACAATGGGTGGATGACAGTCGATGGTGTTTGACCAAAGTTCACCAGTCGAATGGGTGTTTCAAGCTCCCCTCGAACCTCCGAAGGACTACGATCCACATCCATCCCCCAACGTCTTTTTCGCGAAGGAGGACCATCTGGAGGACTCCTGAGGTCATGCAGTGACAAAGCGCCAAACACATGGATTTCGTGGTGGCATCGACTCCATCGACTCGCAGCATCTTTACCCAGCACCAAACTAAACATGTTTCCCTCCCAAAAAAGAAGCAGCTTTGGCACCCTTTCTCTTCACCTCCACATCGGCGCGCCTGAAGCTGCTGAGCCTCCGCCAGCTCCTCTGCCGTGGGCTCTGCCACCGAAAGGCCCAAGCGAACCCGCCTGGGCTGGACTGGCCGGACCGGAAGCGAGCAGGAGACCGGCGTGATGTCTATCTTTTACTATGTATCGAACATGAACCAGGACCCTCCAAGGGGTGTCCAATGCAGGTTCCTTAGTAGTGTAGGGGCTTCCAGCCAGGTGACCCCTTTGAAGGTGCTGGAAGTAGTTGTACCATATTGATGTACTTAGTGTAACACAAACTATGTTTCATGTGATACCGTATTACCATTGTTTGTTTTGTTCCGGGTCTGATAGATTCGTGTGATTCTTGTGTGTGTGTGCATGTTGTGTCGCAGTTGGCTGAACTAAGATCGACATGTTGTTGAAGAAATATCAAACAGAAGTGAAGAGTGTTCCCAGAGAAGGACAAAGGCTTCAAGCCCTCCTTTTGTAGATCAGTTCACGGCTCGCTTGAAGAAGAATACACTATTTCGATCTATTTCGTACACTTCAATTGATGACCGTCGAGACACCTCTCAGTGCAGTCAAGTGTCTCCAACGCTGCCTGAAGCTTGCGCTCTTCCAATTGCCATCGCTCCATCTCAGGCTCAGCCTCTAGCTGCCTCACAGGCCTCACATGACTGGTGGCCGGTGGTTTGCAAATTTACATCTTGCGGTCCCGTCAGATGAGCTGATCAACTGAACCAGTTTTCTTTTTGGGGGAGGTGTGGCTCACCACGATGGCAGAAAAGACTCTAAATAGTCACATAAGCATCCGAATTTTTTTCCAAAGGAACTGCGCCGTCATCATTTCGGGCTCTGCTTCGGGCTCCACCGGAAGCCACACTTCCGGGCTCTTCAGCTCCTCCCGCGGCGGCAGCTCCTCCCGCGGCGGCTTCAGCCGCGGCTCAGACCTCTTGCGCACCCGTTCGCAGGCGTTCTCGACGCGCTGCTGCCGCGCCGAGCCACCGAAGACGCCCAGGCGCACGCCGCTCTCGCTCCGTCGCCGCGGAACACCGCCCGACGGAGCTGCCGGGTGAACCGGCGCGGGGGGAGGGGCCGGGTGCCGCTGCTCGGGCGCGGGCTCGGGGCGGTCGGGTTTGAGGTCGAAGTCCATGGCGTTGACACTTCGTGCTTTCTTCTTTTTGATGTAATGGACCTGGAGATGGCGAAGGTTGGAATTCAAGATGGAACCACCAAATGCCTGACAGAAGAAGCCTTGAAGAAAGGGGCACCGAGAAGAAACTGTAAAATGGGTTGAACAAACATGTGGCAGCCAGAAATGAATGAGGCCCCACAGAATCAATAAAAACTTCCAAGCTGAACTATTCCAGCTTCCCCATCTACCTTCTTGGAGGGTCAGGGAAACTATCTGTCATTGAGTTGCAGAATCTTTCAGGGATCCATTCTTTGACGTAACTAATATACAGTAAACATCTGTGAAAGAAGAACTTGGCTGTCCCAACATCAATCTCATACAGCCTTGTACCGTCACTCAGCGACAAATATTTGGAACCCACGGACCACCTATAAATACTGGCACCCAGCACAGCAGCGGTCCGCCTTTGTCGCTGGAGTCTCCTCCAATGTCATGCATGTGCTCCGCACTGACCGGTCAGATCGTTGTGGGCTGACGGCGTCTTCATCGACGAGAAGACTGGCCTTGGGCGCTGCAAAAGAGAAGAGACAGGCAGAGACAGGGGCACGTTTTCAGGTGCAAGCGCATGGCCCGTGGCAAGTCTGTCAAAAACAGAGATCTGAAAAGCATCTGCCTTCTTAGAACCGAATGAAAACCAAGCAGGTCAACCTGTTGTCGCCTGTCACGTCCCCAAAGACACTGGAGCGTCAATGTCTTGGACTTTCAATCTGCTCCCCACAGGCGTGACCGGGTCTTGCGAGAAAGTGGATGCCCAACACAAACCAAAATGGCCAAACAGCTGCAAATCCTACAAATACAGGAATGTTGAGGACATTAAAGGAAATTCATGGGATGAAGGAATGGTGACATTAAAAAAGATGCAGGAGATCATAGCTGGGCCAAATCAATAGATTGGAGGTGTGGGTGTGTTTCTTGGCTGCAGAGAGGGACAAAAGATCAACAAGGTGGATGAAAGGTCAGCCAACCCAAATTGATAGACATGGGGCCAGGTGTTGATCCTGAGTTTCCTTTACTGCTCCCGCCTTGATCCTCCCATTTAACTCCTTCCAAGACTAGCCACACTTCTCCGCCGTTCTCGGTGTTTGTGCAGTTCCTTCAAGGCCAAATGCCCACCGCTACCGTGGCCGTCGTCTTCGACTGGCTCCACGGTGGAGGTGGTGCCCGACACACGCTGCGGTCGAGGGGACATTGACTGCCCAGATCCTCGATGGACAGAGGGGACTGAATTGAACCATCAGATGCTGTTCTCCGGTTTTGTTGTTGATCTTCTTGGGCAGTGTTTTTGGAGGTTTCGCTGGCGAGAGCCACCAGCTAAGGTAAAAGCATGTTGATGTATGTTGATGTGTTATAATATGTTATAATATGTGTCTGGTTTGAGTGCTGAAAAGCTGTTGCAAACAAGTAACCCGCCTCCATACAGGTTCCAACCTCACATAATGCAAATCTTTACACTCCGACCCACTACCATGAAAGTGAAAGAATGCGCACAAGCTCGCAAAATCTTGGAAGCTGAGCTGAGCAGCACCCAAACTTCGGAGCCAAACTGTTCCACCTTCCATGAACATGTCAGATGGTCTGCATCTGAGACTCCTCAAAACCACAGAACCACTGACACCAAGGCTCTGGGCGACTCGTCTTCTCCCCTCCTCGGTGATAGAGCTGGCAGCTTCAGCTGTGCCTTCGCTGTGCCATCCCCCGCACCCGGTGGCACGCTTGGGGGCGGTGCCAGCGGCAGGGGCACGGTGACCCGGGGCTTCCGAGGGCGGCTGAGGCTCGTCATCCATGGCGGGGGCCGGGGGTGACTCTTGCTGCGGTCCGATGCGGTGTGGAAGTCTGCGCTGGGAAGTAGGCTGGGTTCAAACTGAGTGTTGCTCTATAGGTAAATGTTTCAGAGTTCGATTGGTTTCAGAGATGGCTTGATTTCAGAGTTCGATTGGTTCTGGGTATATGATATACATGAGTGAGGGCACGCTATGTGAGAGTGGGGTCTTAGACTCGTTGTTCGATGTTTTTCGGCTTTGACTCGTTGTGGCAGAGCCTCTGTTGCACAGTGTCATCGTACAAACTCGTGAGCCAAAACGAAAACTGTCTGCCATGCTCAAAGCAGCGAAGAAAATGGCGCTTCCAAACGCATCGAATCAAAGCAGCGATGTGATCGCTTCTGCACGAGGAGGTGTCCCGACCCTACCAGCTGGATGCCTGGATGCCGCCGTTCGGCGGCATCAAACATTCGGCAGACCAACGATCGAAACCTTGGTGTTCGATGTTTGGAAGAGACGATCGAAACCCTGGTCTCTTAGACCTTCGAACCATAAGAGATCTATCCAACTCCAAAGAAGAGAAAACTCCCACAGAGCTTCCCCCAGAACTCTTCCCAGTTCTGAACCTCATTTCGATTCCTTTCGACTCATTCCTTCATATTCCTTTCCAAGAGGCCCCAAGCGCCTCCATCTCGGCACCTCTTGTTCCGCCCACCGTTCTGATGCGAGAACTTCCGCCCGGCTTGGGGGCGCTAGGCCTCAGGTGCCCCGACACGTACGTGTAGGCAGGCGTATACACTTGCTCAAGGAACAGATCAGAAAAAACTTTTGGACCAGAAGATTGTTGTGACATGTAGTCCTTCGAAGTTTGGAGGGATGGTCTTCAGACCCTCCTTGAATCTATTGGGAAAAGGAAGACCACCATCAAGGCCTGGCACATGGGCCTGGCACATCAGTAGTTCCATGGAGTTGGGAGCCATGACCCATCCAATCCAGAGGATGTGACAGGGTCCACCCATAAAGAACACCCCATGGAACTCCAGGTAGGAGCCGCACCCAACTCCATGGAATCGCTCTCCATGCTTGTTTATTTGGCATGATAAAAACCCCGGACCTGACGGTTCTCCACGTGGATTTACCCAGCCACCACCAACAGCGGAACGTGCGTAGAAAAAGAATTTCCCGAAGAAACAGACCTGTCAGAAACGGGCGAGCGACTAGTTGAAATAGACCGCACCGAATCGTCAGTCCTTTTTTCCAGGAAAGCCAGAAATCAACAACAGGTTCCGCACATCATCATGTATCTGTTGAGACAGATTCCGTGAAAGTATGTAAAAGTGCATGTGGAATATTTAGAATGAATAAAGCATAATAAGACGATGTATAAAACAACTGACTGCTGTCTATGTATATATATGAGAAAGGCAGGCGCCTCGGGCCCTAGTTTCAACACGTGAACCCAATGCCAGCTGCATGTGACTCGTGATCCAACGATGCACTGAACATCGAGGGTTTCAAGCGTCCAAGCTTGAACGACTTCTTTGCTTGGACGCATCCCCTGCTCTAAAGAAAAGCCTCTAAAGCCAATCCATTTCCGTGTTGTCTTATAATTAGACCGCCCGGTGATGACCTTCACTCGCAATCGGCCGGCAATCGGTGCCTTCCCGCTCCATCGCTCTTTGCGCTTGCTCGCGCCAGCTGCCGTGGCCCAAGCCGCGCAGCGAGGGGCTTTCGGGGGAGGCCGTCGCGAAGCGGCGGCCGCGGAGCTCCAATAAGCCTTTGAGATCTGTGCAATGCTATGAGCCTAATTTGGATTAATTTAGTACATTTCTTTCAAGTTAGTTGCTCCTGTTCGTGGTTTTTCAAGTTCGTGTTGCCTTCGCCCGCAGAGAAGCGATTTCTCCCAAGAGCATCGCGCACATTGCCGCCTTCGTCTCTTTCATATTTAGATAAATTACCTCGCTCAGACAGTGACATGAAATCTCCACCCCCAAAAGTTCGACCTCTGAAATCACATTGGCTTGGCCCTTGGCCCAGTCAAATCCACAAGTACCCATCAGGTCCCAGGTCCTTCACCAATCCCAGGTCCTTCACGCCGCGTCCCAGGCACGCCGCAAGGCCAGGCGGGTGGGCAGTCTTCCGCGTCCACGTCGACCTCCGCTACGCCAGAGGTTGCTCCGCTGCAAGGCCACGCGAGGGAGGCTGAGGTTCAAGGCCTCTGTATGGGCCGCAAAGCCGTTTTGCGGGTCAAGAAAAAAGAGGTACTGTGACTGTGTAGTGTTTGTACATTTAAATGCACACATTGACCAACATACGTGGTCATTCTACCTTTCTCTCACGTTGCGCAAACAGGCAGAGACTCTGTGACAAATTCTTGGGTACTTTGAAAGAGCTGCGGATGAAATTTGTTTTCATCTATCTTCATCCATCTTCCACAGCTCACCCCGCGCACCTGCCCGAGGCATGACACCGGCGGCCGCGGATCGTGCACTGGCGCCCAGGCACGACCCTGCAGGCAACAGGAGACCTGGGAGACACCGGAGACGCCCATGCGCTGCCCACAGGAGGGAGCCCTCACGTAGACTCACGCGGAGTCTAAGGTCCAAGAAAGGAGCTTGGAGGTGCTCAACCTGGAAACCCTGGAATATCGGTAGCTGTCAACACAGGCTTGTGCCCACGATCGAGTGTCCATGATTTTGAGATGTTTTGGGATTCCGAGAGCTGGAAACATTGTCAATGACCTGGTGCATGTGATATGTGTGTGTGTGCCACTGAGGCGTTCCTCTGTGCCACTCATTGCCACTCATGTTGTCTTTTTTCCTCCAAACCACCCAGGAGACTGACCGGTGTTTCCCCTACCTGGTCGTTTTTTCTGCCAAAAAGACCACCTGCGGACCAGAAAACCACGTGGCACCCGAAAACCGCGGGCGACGGCTGCCTTCGGCACCGAGGACGTCGTCTACCGTCCGACCGGGACGTCCAACGACCTTCGGTCCTGTCGTACGGCATCTCCTGTGGATGTTCAGCTGAAGAGCCAGCAGCAGGCCTGGCCTCATGTTCTCACGTGCCAGCGCTGCCAGCGCCTGACTTCAGAGGGTGCAAAGTTCGGGTCGGGGGCCAGCGCAGCGCCAAACAGAACCCGCCAATGAATCAATCCCCCCGTCATACACCGAACCATGCTGGACAACAGTCAGCAGGCAATAGCCAAGTTAATTACGACAAACAGTTCCCTCCTGAATAGGCCATTGTCACTCTGGAAATACCTCCCTATCAAACCAAGCCATCTTTAGCTATCAAATACCGTCGCTTGGTTTGTTGCTGTTTGGTCTGGCGTGTCTTTTCGTTTCTTTTCCCCTCTTTCTTTCCAGTCGGTCTTTTCTGTCCTTTCGTTCTTCCAGCAAATTGCTGTTCTAATCCGCAGCCCCCCCAAAAGGGACCCGTCGCCCGTTGCCAGGTCACCTCAATGGTGTTGTCTCCCAGACTGCCACAGGGATGAAGCCCTGACCAGGTCGTGAACTGCAGGGATGAGCTGCAAATCAAAAAAAGCATCAAAGAGGACGAAGTCGGCAACTAAAGCACTTCTTGAGTATGAACTGAAGTTGATGAAGAAGGGGGTCACTGAATGCTGGACTTAAATGTTGACTCATCTTACAAGCTGATGCAATCCTTCTGGCAACAGGGTAGGATGATACCTTCGTAGGCAGGGTCCACAGCAGAACTCGAGCTCCAGGAACTCTTCAAAGTGTTCTTCAACCAGGTTCAGAAGTGACTGAGGAGTGGTTCACTCCAACCATTCGAACCTCCTCATGAATGAATTCAATGCTCACTTCAGGTGTTAAAGCATTTTTGCTATACCAGGGGAGAGCTCATCCTAGATGCCGTAGTGTCCAACTGTGCATATCTTCATCTTTGCTACAGGGCAGTCCCAGCCTCATTCACCCCGTCGAGTTGAAACACTCGTGGTGTCTGGCCTACCACCAGGTCGCCCTCCTGCACTACTCCACTCAGCGCCGCAGCATCTAGGTCGCAGCAGCGAAACTCCACAGCTGATCCACTCCCCACTGGCCGAGCGACGGGTCGCCTCGGTCGCGGGGAAACCGCGTGCGTGGAAGAAATCGCGATGCGCAGCTGGAGCGCCCGGACTGTCGACCGGGTTCGGACCGACCGGGGTTTTCTTGTGGTCTGTTTCGTCTGACGTTGTTCGAAATCGAACAAAGCCGTGGATGGGATCGAACTCAGTCCCGTTGAGTTGACTTGACTTACACTGGATCTGTCTTATAGACTTGAGGTGTTCAGCAAACGGGTTGTGGTCTGGCGGACCTCTGAAAACACGATTCCCGGCGTCCCAACCAAAGCCTGGTGAGAAACCCTGGACCCGTCACGATGCCAGGTAAAAAAAAGGAACTCAGATTGAAAAAGAGGGCTGTAAGATGATTGAGCCAAGCTTGTTCACCGGCTGTGGCCGAGGGGAGAGTTGAGAACTCGAGAGTGTTGGTGTGCAGTTTCTCTTTTCTGGACCGAAAGAGAAGAGAAAATGGACCACAACCACGTGTTCCTCCTTTTGGTGGAAATCACCTTTCTCTTGGTGGTCTAAAGGATGCACGAGGATGCCTAATATATATATATATGTATATTATAAGTATATATATATATATAAATATCATACAGTACACTCTTCTTGAACCATCGTGTCAGAAAAATAACGTGTGGTTTGTGACATTGTCACTTCCCGACCCCAAATAAAATGCCCTGAACAGTGAGGAGCAACTTTGACTGTGCCTCGTAGTACTTAAATAAACAAATAGAATGGATTGTAGCTGACAAACAGCGTGACACCTTCCAAGGCGACAATAGACAAAAATCAATATTCAAATACAATGTCACAATGTCAGAATGGCATGGAGTCCTACTCAAAACAATCTACTTTTAAACTCGAAAAGCGTCCTTCTCATAGCGTCCGCGCGTGCCACCTGTGCTGCATCCCGGTCAAGGCCCAGGGCGGGAACGACCAGGGCCTGCCGCGATGGGCGCGGTCGACTGAGGAGGTAGACTGGATGAACTGGATGAGTGATTGAGACATCCTCGATGTTTGTTGAAACAAGATGTAGGTGTTGACTGATACTCCAAAATTGTGGTTGCGCTAGGCGTGCACGGCTCTCGTTCTTTGCTGTTTTCTAGATTTCATAGTTTTAGTCTTGACTGCTGGTTGTGCCTACCCTCGTGGATTCTCTTCACCAACAAAACGGGGAGCTGGAGGGGCTTTAGTCAACAAAGGAGCAACCTGGGACCTTGCTTATATGTATTCAAAATACTTAATTCACACAATAATATATATATATATATAATAAATACTTAAGTGTATAATGTATCTTGCTTTGAATGGACTAAAGACCACTCTATCATGCACAAATCTATACACTAGAACCTGGACTATGGTGGAAACACGTAGTCCACCCGCATCCAACAGCCGGCGGTGCCCTGAGCTGGGAAAACAAATCATGTCAACATGTGTCGAACATGTCCAGGTCGCTTGAAACATCAACATGTTGGGTTTCTGTTGATGTGCAAAAACCCAGGGACCCAAAGTCCAGGCACTTTTGGCTCAGAAGACAGGCTCAGTCTACCCATTGCTTATTTTTCTGGGGAATCTCGATGGATCTTCCTATCGTGATTTTTGGTGACCCCAGCATATGATGGAAAAGTAAGGGGCCAATCAAAAGATTAAAAAGGACATCCTGAAAAAATCTACTTGGAAAACTCTCTACACTCCCATGTCCTTTGGGAGACGCAACGGCTCTCTCCAACCAATCTCCTCCTCTCCTGGGACAGGGCATGCGTCAGTGCGCCAGCACCGCAGCCCAAGTCAAGGATACGAAGCACTCTGGTGCGGTCAAAGTGCTGCTGAATGACCTGGAAGAGGTTGGAAACATGGGCAAAAGCTTCAGAATCCGAAGCTCCAAATCCCAAACGCGGAGGGTTCGTGTCACTTTTGGGTGACTGAGATACATGATACGTACCAGGACCCTCCAAGGGGTGTCCAATGGAGGTCCCTTAGTAGTGTAGGGGCTTCCAGCCAGGTGACCCCTTTGAAGGTGCTGGTACATTATATATCTGTTCCTTATCGTTCCTTCATGTCTTCTCGTCTCGGGACTCAAAGGTGGAAGGTGTATCCATGCGTCCACACCCACGGAGGCGGTTTTTCCGCAGCTCCCCGGACCACCGGAGGGTCCATCGGTGGGAGCGACCGTACGCTTTTGACCTCGAGGCAAGTGATGTTCCGCTACAACCACTTGGTCTTGACTGGTTGGAGGAACAAATAGAGGTAGACTTAAGTTGGTTCTTTGAGTTGATTTCTCGGTGACCACTTGGTTGGAGGGGAGGGCTCGGAAGACAACCATTAGCACCAAGTTGAACAAACAAGATGTACGACACACACCCCAGGACCTGGACGAAATTCCTTCGGTGATTCAGAAGTTCTGTTCAAACTTGGTGAAACACCCGGAGAACCGACGAAAAGCAGCTCTTCGACCAAGCACGTCCAAAACCGGCAAAGTTCCATGTGTGAAGACCTAAGAGTCTGCACAACTCACTCCTATGCGCTACAATACTTAGCTCCCTAAGAATCCGGGTCCTCAAACACATAGGGTTTTGAGGGTCCGGACCCCTGCTATGGAGGGTCCGACCCTGCCATGGAGAGCCCAAGGATTCTTAGGGCTGGTGTTGCATTGAGAGATCAATACTTTTTATATCATTTTGATTCACCTGGTGTTGTTGTCTTTCGGCTGAAACCGAGCTCCCCTGTGTTCGTAACAGACTCGGTTCCGGGGGTCTCTGATGTCGTTCTTCCTGATCGCATTGTAGTTGTGATGGAAAACCCCTGCACGAAAGTGAATGGCCGGACATTGGGCTGAAATTGGGTGGTGGTGTTGGACTTGTTGCATACGATGTCACACGGCGCACACGTGAAAAAAGGGGGGGCCTCTTGGACTCCTGGGATCAGCCGACAAGTCCGACGGAAAGGACACCATGTCTGCAAATCTGAAGATGGGTAGATACTTTCTGGTGCTTTTTCCGTGTTTTCTCCGTTTTTCTCCAGATTTGCAGTCACAACTCTCGATTCAAGGCTCATGGTTTGAGGATCCTGAAAAATTGGCCTGGAGGGCTGCCTCCCAAAAAAACTAGCCGCGCCTTGAGGCATCCAGCAACTTGCCTGGCCACTTGGCCACTGGTGATCGGTCGTTCCTTCCTCTGGGAAAGGTGGATCTTGTTTTAGGGTTCCAGGGACAGGGAGCTCGGGGCGCCTCTGGAAGGATGTGATTTAGCAGTGAATTATGTGAATATATACTGATGAGCTTGTTCCCAGTTAATTCCTCCAGCTTCCCAGCATTCAGGACTCCCCAGGTTCCGTGACGGAGAAAATTTGGTACTGTTGGAAGGGGCTCCCAAGTTGAGAAGTTGGCCCACCAGGCCCATCGGACAAAGGTCATGTTCAAGCCCACAAAAGCAGGGATAGGCAGGGTCTAGTCTAGACTGATACTCTTGCTCAGCTCCAAAGGTGGAGAGAGGTTCAGGAAACATCGTACCCCTAATAAAGGAAACAAAGAATAGTTTATGCGAGCATCGCTGCATTGGGACTATCGGTTTATCGCTAAACGAAGGCAACAGCCTCCAGCAGGTTCATGGACATGGCCTAATAGCATCAATGTCGGGTCTATATGAGATCTCCAGTGCTCGTTGAAAAAAAAGGAAAGAACACACCCTCCCAACAAAGAACTACGAAGAATAATAATCAATTCCTTTGGTTTTAAAGTGGTGCAATTTGAACCTTTCCAGACCCATGGCCCGAGCGAAAGAGCTCACGAACACGATCTGCGGATGCCATCAGCTCGGTCGTGTGGATGCGTTCGAGTCACTGGGCCTTTGACTGCTTCATGCCCGGCACTGGCATGCCACCGGCCCCTCCTGCAGCTACAGGCGTCAGAGGCGCCACAACGCGTTGACGAATTCTGAGCCGCCCCCTCATCGCAGCGTCCAAGAAGCTGCCACTGCCACGTCCTCTTCCATTTTTACACATGTTTACTGCCTCTACAAGCATGCATTGGTTTGACTTGACCAGAGGGTGGGCCTGCGGCATGGGACATAAAATTCATAAATACGGGTTGACCAACCCAGCACAAAAGAGGTACCTTGAGGTGCCACAGACATGGCCTTTCGGGATTGCTTGAACATCAGATGAGCAATGAATTTTTCCGCTGCACTGCGTTCGGGATCTGCCAACTCCGAGCCTCTCAGGATCTACATGTTGACTCGTTTCAGAAGCGTCAGATGTCATGATTCAGATTGCATGAAGGTCTCATAAGCCGACATTCATAAGCCGCCAAGAGTCGTTCTTCTACTGCGTACCACAGAATTTGAATGCATTTGAGGGGTCTTTGGGGTCTTGGGCCCTAGGTGCCACATATTGGCGGGAACTGCCCCAATCCGGAACGTCCCAGCTTCCGCTCCTTGGGAACCGGAGCCTGGTAGGAGCCTCGTTCGCCAACGGAGTGTGTATTTCTATCCCCATTGGAATTCAAGAGCCTCAGGGTACCCAAGCAACACGATGTTGTAGAGGAAATTCCAATCCCTATGTCTTTTCATGCGACGTGGTGAAGCTGTTCAAGAGTGGAGAATGATCTTCGTTTCGCTTTTGAAAAAGCGACAGTGTCAACAACATGCGCTCCGGATGATCATCGGCTATCATTCCACCAGCAATACTGGCAACAACACGCAACAACTTGTCTGTGCCAGGAAACATCTCTTCGAGCCATGCGAGCTCCTTGATGAGCAGCCTGGGCGGTTGCTAGGGTCGGCAGCCGCGATCGGCTGAGCGGAAGAGAGGATGGACACCCTTTGAAAACGAGGGATATCGTTTTGGAAACAGGTGTTGGCAGGTATACTGAGTACCTAAGTAGAAACTTGGATGGCACAGGTAGTGGGCTACTCGAAGCTGAATGTGTCAAGAACTTTGAGACTTTGAGCAAAACAGTCAAGTCCAATCAAAAGCATCACCAAAGTCAAGTGTCCAAGATAGATCCACAGACCCCAATCTCTGTGACCCATATTGTGCAAAGGCAGAAGTATCAAGAAGTCTACGGCAGTACCAAAAAGCAAAACAAAAGGCTTCACAAGTTTGCTTGCCTTTCAGGGAGAGGAACACCCTGCCCAAACTAAGGCGTCAACTATAATTAACTAAATCATATTCTACAGCACACAAAAATCAGCTGTCAAACCGTAGTCATTCTCCTCAGAGTACTCCTGAGAGTCATCTCAGTCATCAACAAGTGAAATCAACTCAACTGCTGAAACCACCACAAGTCCATCAACTGTACAAGTCATCCAGCGAACGGTGGGACGAGTCAACCTGCGTTTCTTCTCATCTCAGTCCTTCGACGAAACTCAAGCGAAGCCACCGCAGTGTGGATGGCATCGAACCTGCAGCAGACACAGGCAGCCGGCTTGAAACCTGAAATCGCCCGCTGAACAGGTGACTGAACAGGTGATTTCAACAGTCCGTTAACATGTCGTAACTAGGGGTGAATGTTCACTTCAAAAGTCCCAAACGCCCGCGTATGCAGGGAAGTATGATCCATAGATTCAAGAGACATGAGCTCGACCCAAAGCTTTTATGAACCTTCTTACCAACGGGAGGACATTTCGCTTGTCCTTGCATACATGGAGTGCTGGGGAGTGGCCACTAGGTTGGCGGATGTGGACATGGCAAAAGCCAGTCACCAGTAGGTTGTTTTCATGTGAAGAGTGGCAAGGGCGAAGCAGCGATGTAATGTGTTGACCCCTGTTGCCCTTGATCGGATTTGGGTCCTTGGATTTACTGGAAGGCCAAAAGTAAACAGGAACATCTCAAAGTCGAAAAGTAGACTGCTCATTGCCCAGCCTTGTTCATTAGAGTCTTTTGGAGACTAAGGCCATCTGCAATGTCCACCATCTAAGATACCCGAGTCTTTTCTGGTGATGACATCGCTCTTGCCTGAAGTTGCCCCCCTTGCCCGATCTGCTCCGAACCCACCGGTGTCTCGGAACCTGAGACCGGTGTGCTCAGCCCACATCGCTCGGCCCGGTCCAGCTGCTCTTCATCAAGGCTCCAGAGGAATCTGGGCATCGGCTGCGTCGGTCGGGTGCTGACCACGACCGACCATGCGTCCATCGGACAATGCTGACGATCTCGTCTGCTCGCAGACAGACTCAGCATCTCGGAGTCGTGCTTAGAACTTGGTGCATTTATAATCATTCACATAAAACACCATCAAGCAGAAGAGTCAAGTGCACCAATCGGGGCATCTGGAATTTGTATGGACTTGTGCTGCCCCGTCGCTCTCGCCATGAGGTTTCCAGCACTTCCTGGCGCGCGACGCGCGACCAGAGTGACACATCACTTAACAGTGACGATTTGAGCATGGATGGAACAGGCGCAGGTGACAGATTGTTGACCATCTATACAACAACTGACTGGTGCGACTCGTAGGGAATGAGAGAATGGATCCAAAGGAACCTATATTGGGGCTCATTCCCTCATTCCCTACTAAGCACCAGTCAGAAGATGGAAGTGTAAAATATGTGTTCCTCGATTTTCCTCTACTAGCAGGGGGGCTTCCACGTCCACGCTTGGCGGCAGAATATCCATGTTTGCCCCAAATTGCTTGTTGGCAATACAACTGATGCCTTCCATCCAGTCAGTGAGGTTGCCTGGTTAGGCATCACTTCCAATCCTCAACTCTACTCTCCGGATCATTGAATGGGTGTCCAATGCCTGTTGTATGGGGCAATTACACGCCAAAGTGTTTCAGACTTTCGGTTCGCAACGTGTCTCAAGTTTGCTTCCTCGTGGCGATGTTGAGTTGAATGCCTAGTCCATTGGTGGATCCTGAACAGGTGGTCCTGGCAACCATTGAGTTTCCAATCACACATGGCCGCACATAGTTATTTTGAGTGAGTGTGCATGATCAAATCTACCATCCAGAGCCTTCGCGATGGCCTTTCGCTCCCCAAGAGCGATGGCCTCCAACGCTTAAGAAGCCTGAAATCTGGAGGTTCATCTGTACCAAAACCTCACGCGAAAAAACTGTGGTTGGGAAACCATCAAGTCTTCATGTCGCTCGAGAGAGGGATTCAGGATCGATGAAATTCCAAGGCTGACATTCTAAGTTCTTACGACAGTCCTAAGCCGATTTAAGAAAAAAACACAAGCCTGAGGCTTGGATATAATCCAATGATGAATGCAAAAGAATCATACCCGGGCTCCCTTTCCCAGTAGTTCTCCCACCGCCACCAACCCGGGGCTTCATCCCGAGCTGAACAGCAGCTTCGCGCCCACCGTGGTGACCAGCTGACCGAGACCGACCAGGCCTCCTCCAGGTGTCCCATGGGCACGGAGGTCACCAGCCGCGCGCAGCGGCCCAGCGCTGCCGGAAGGGCCTTCCGACTTTCTCTCCACCCAGAATCATCGGATCTTACTTAGTGGTTGATTCAAACAGCATAGCAAATCTCTCGGAACTGGAATGAGAAGGTGCAAGTTCTACTTTGTTTGGAGTGTATGTTGTTTAGAACGAATGACAACTAAAATGTAAAGGGAAGTGGGTGACCACAACGATTCGCTCCAAGAGATGTGCTCCTCCAAAGTATCAGTCCCCTACCTGCTGGGCCAGACGACCTATACTGGTGGTTTGAGTTTGGTCACACCACCTGTTTCATCTAACCGAGGATGTGTGTAATCACACTCCCACAAACTAACATGGACCCGGGTCGAATGGCACCCTGGGTCCGACTCTTTTCCTTTACAAACCGGTTTTCAGGGTCCATGTGCGTTTCCAGCGAGGTACAGTATGCATTTAAAAAAGAGGACAATGAACCACAAGGCTCTTTGCCCAATGATGATCTGATCTGGATGAATCCGGGAGTTCACTCGGAGCGGGTGTGAACTTTTCGGGTATTTCCCATGGGTTTGACGGTGCTTTGACTCGGCTCGGAGAGTACGGAGATGTGGAGGTTCCCCAGCCTTCTAAAGCCACTCCCGGATTCACCTACCATTGTCATAGTCCAAGCTATCTCCCCATTGGTCAGTCCCGCCTCGAAGTTTCTACCTGGCCACAGCATCACATGAGGCAAACCCACCAACGCCACCAGTCCGACAGGGACTCCAGTCCAGAAGTCAAGCGCCATGCGAGCATGCGTGGCATGGCGCATCAAGTTGCAAAGGGTGTTGTAAACGCTGCAAAATCAGAAGACCGACTTCGTTGTGGGTCATGGCATCATGGCACCTCTCGGATACATACCTTAAGATTGACCCAACAAAAAGGGGTCCGTTCGCTAGTGCTGGTGACCAGGGCTCCAATGTTTGACCCATCCCCACTTGTAGATGCACAATGATGCACAGATGCACATCCTTCTTCATCTTCTTCTCATTTTGCTCTGTTGTTCGGTCTCCCAGGCCCGTTCGAGGGTGGAGGGTGGAGGGTGGAGCCCTGTTCATCAGGGGTCTTCGAACCCATCTGGCGGGGACGGCTGGGACCCACACTTCACCAGTGAGACCCAGGGTTCGGGTGGTGATTGGGATGGACATTCCATGAGAAAAAATCTAACAGGGAGGTCTACCAGCACCTTCATGTCGGGGTCACCTGGCTGGAAGCCCCTAGACTACTAAGGAACCTCCAGACAGGACACCCCGACTGGAGGGTCCTGGTAGAGAAACATCTATCAATTCCACCCGGCAAACCGTTTGCGAGGGAATGGCTGCTGCGAGCGGTTTGTGGGAAAGCTCCATCGGGGACATCTGGAACACATCGGCATGGAACACCCGTCCAGGCCCTGGCGGTTTCAGTCCTTCGGTCCAGAAGCGAAGGACCGAAACCTTCGATGGTTGTGGATCATGGAAGCCGGGGACCCTCTGGTGAACACCGGGGTACAGGGCGTCAACCTATGGCAGGGTTTTCCCTGGGCTCCCGTCCAATGACCCACAGCCAGATCTGGAAACCGCTCGTTATGCCAGGGAGTTCAAGGTACTACCCTCTACCAGAGTCTTCACTCGGTCTTTGGGGAAGATATTGGGATCCACAAGACCTGCCTGTCCTGCCTCTCCTGCCCTCACGCTGCGACGTGCCTTTGTGCGGCAGGTTCGCTGGGCGCGCCCGGAGGTCAAGACGCAGCGACTGCGGTGGGTGTTTGGATGAAAACCAGGTGCTTCGTCGGCGTGGGACCAGCCTCTTCATGTCTTGGCATGTTCAAGCACACCGTCTGGATGGATGAGCTGTTCTTCATCTGCAAGCACCCAGGTTTCAACCCACACCCAAACGGAGACAATTTAAATGCCTCATTTCGAACGTGGGCGGCCATCTGTCGCAGGGATCACGTCAGGCGTTTTTTTCTGCGCCCGGCGGAAAAAGAGGTTCCGAGAGGCCCAAGTGCTCGCTGGAAGGGAGTCTAAGAAATCATTTGGCACACCGGAGGGCTTCCCCTGATGTCTCAAATATCTCATGATGTATATATAATGACTGAAACACTGTGGACCACAATCTGTGGGAATGGTGGGAGTGAGCGTCAACAATATCTTTGGTGTAGGCAGTGCTACACATGTGTTGGAAACTGTTTATCCTCCCAACTTGGCGGCCGAATATAGATTCTATTCTTGTGATCCTCCCACTGGAGGTCCTTCCAGGGCAACGCAGGGGTCCAGAACTCTTTCAGCGCGAAAACCCCGCCCACAGGCAGCCGGCACGGCCCAAAAAATCCTCGGCAGCCGGATTCAAATCCCGCGCCAGGTAGGCACATTGAACTAGGAAGAACTGGTTCTCACCCTCCAATGAGGGTTGGCAGAATCCTTACTGCGGTCGCAGATTTCCTGGTCACGCTGTAGAGCTTCAGCAATGGAACTCACTTGAGCCTGGTGAAACTGTTCCACCAAATCAATCAAGTGATGGGAGTTCAGTATCAGCCTTAACCGGGAAATCTATAGACCAAAGTAAGGTTGACTCGAGTTGCTCTGATCACCTGCAGGATTTTGCAGGAGCCACTCAGAGTGGCTGTCTAGTACTATATGGACAGAGTCCCCGCCGCAGGGGTGTGGCGTGAAATCGCATTCCAATCATCGTTGGTGTGAAAGCGCTTCGCTCGTCCCGCTGGAGGGATTCTTGGATTCTTGCTCTATGGCTAACCTCAAAAAATACAAGTACCATAACTACTGGATGTTAGTTTTCGTGGTTGAACCACATATCAAGGCCGGTTGCTCTAAATATCTCTAAATCACCAAGGGTGGGTGGTCGACATCCGCATTGGTCCCCTCAAGGCACCTCTTCATGCCCCACATGTCGCAAGCGGTCACGCTGATGTTGCAACTTCAGATAGCTTCCGGGACCAAACAGATGCAACAGCCTGAAAGTGGATGACCATTTGGTATATACGATATAGATCCACCTACCCGATAAGGGTATCTACATATACTGTAATATATATATATATATATAATCATAAGAAAGGAAAGCGATATCCATCTTATCTTGTCTTATCGATCAAATCCACCATGCCAAGATCCCATTATCAGGGCCACGTCGGAAAAATGGGCAGCGTGCAGCACAGGTTTCGAAGTCTGGGTTCCACCCGCCGGGACCCTATAGCATCCTTGAACCGCAAAAGAAGGGTCACATCACGAGATGACTTCAAACAAAACTGTGTAATCATAGCAGTTGGAAGGCCTCCTGTCACAAGACTATTTACTTGAATCTAGTCGAATATTGCAGGACAGGACCGAACAACAACAACCACAACAACCACAACAACCACAACCACAACCACAACCATAACCACAACCACAACCACACCAACACGTAAGAAAACTCTTGATCTTCAAGGTGGACCGCTCCACTGCAATGGACTTTATATCCCATCAATCTCTCTCGCTCTAAAACGATCATGACATACACGAGTTCGCTCCCGCGGCGCACTTGAAAAGCGCTCTCAGCATCTTCCAATGGGAGGTACCGTGGCGAAAGAGAACTCTCCAAGACCTCAAGTTACGCCACTCTCAGTCAGGTCATGAGAGGTGAAAACGCGGCGTCACCGGGCCAAGCGCACAGAAAGATGGGCCCAACTATGGAATGGGAACAGGGAAGAAACGAGCAATGGATCTCCTGGTTACACCCAAACACCAATGTCAGAAAGGGTCCAAAACAGCACACACCCACAACCCCCCCCGTTGGACCCGGATGTTCTGTAGACACCAAATGGAGCTCATCTCCCGATCTCCGTCGTCATTCGCCCACCAGCGGAGAACAGCGGAGCTGCTCCACGTCACTCTTCCCTCATCCTTCCAACAGAGGTTCAAGAACCCGATAATTAGGTCCTATAGACTATCCCATAGGGACCCCAATAGGGTCCTACAAGGTCACCGAATCTCTGGAAATGGCCCACCGAGTGGCTCGGGCAATGGCTCAGCCTCGTGGTCCGCTCGGCGCTGTTCTTCCGCCGCATGAAGCACTGCCGCAACCTGCAGACGCCGAGCACACCCGAACGAGCCTCGTCCACACCGGGGCAGGTGGAGCAGAGCTGGAGCGGAGTCGGAGATCTGCGAGATGGGCCCGAAAAGATCCTTAGAATGGGGTCTCCTGAGATGGGTGCGATCTGCTGAGATGGGTGCGAAGTCTTCGGCGAAAACTATATACTTTCCGGTCTTTTGTTTCTCTACTTCGGTCAAGACACTCTCCGACTGCATGTCAGGTTGGAGGGGATCTGGTCAAATCGCTCTGTTGAGCAGTTCTGGGCTTCCTACAACTTCCAAGGCTGTTGACACCTTTCAACTCAAACACTTCGGACTTATAGTCCACTTTGAACCCTCTAAATCTCTGTAAATACATGTAGTCCCCAGAGTCCTAGACATCGCAAGTAGTACTATAGACTATAGTATTCTTAGCTTGGCAGATTTTGCTCATCTGCCGACTGCACACCATCTCCCAACTCCGCCTACGACTCTGGCTTTTGAGTTGTAGCTCCTGCGGAGGCGACGGCAATGTCTCTGCTGAAAACAAGCATGACCGGTGCAGAGTCCGAGCTCCATATATATATATATGTATACAAAAAAACACTATCAAAAACATGCACAAGATTTAAAAAGTACTAAAAATCACGGTGAACTACTTTTCGATTATGTTGTTCGTTCCATAATATATATATATATATATATTTAATCTATCTTCCATCCTTTCACCGGCTTCTCTAGTCTCCCATCTTTCAGCTGGGCCGGTTGATGCATGCGAAGGGACCTCGGCTCCGTACCTCCGTACCTGGCTCGCTCCGTATCCGCTGGTTGTCTCGCCCTCTCGGGCGGGAGAGTGGTCTCCCTCGGTCCTCGTCCTGCTTTTCTCCCTCCGACTTGGAGGATTCGTGTCCATCGTCTGATTTCGACTCTTCCTCAGCAATGAACCCGACTCTTCGACCTTTCACCAGCACCCCCGATTTCCAGCGGTCGTCCCGCCGAGTTTTGGAGCTGAAACACAGGGAGTGACCTCGGGGCGGAAATGGGTCGCGCCCAGCCGCAGTTCAAGTAAACAACCATGTGGTTTTCCACCAGCTGCAGTCGGTGAAATGTTCGTACAACATCTGTGGGATGTTCACGAACGTCGGCCTCTTCATGGTCTGTTCCCTTTTGCCACAGGCTGTGAAGCTCAGACTCCACTATCAAAGTTTTAGCACTGCGCTGGTTCGATTGGTGTAAAGCATGAAAGCAATATGAAAACAAATACCAGAACTCCCTACAGCTGCAGCTCTCGTCACATCGGGTCGCCCAAAGAGGATCTCTTGAACAAGGGGCCCCTGATGGCGTCGTCAGTGGAAGGTCTGACCGTCTCTGCAGCGTCTTCCTGGCGTTCATGGACCAATAGCTGGACACCCATGGCCACCCGATGGGTACTCCTGACACGCATGGATACCCAAGCCACCACGAAACCACGCTATGAATGTCGATATTTCAGCCACAGCGTCTGAGTGTTCCTCACGGGGAAGTTCGGGGCGTTCTTCGCGCCCCTCCTGGCGTTCTTCCAGCCAGGAGTAAGCTGGATGCCAACGAAACAAGAGCACCGATTGAGGACTGTCGGCGCCTAAAGAGGTCCGAAAATTGATGACTTCTGGGTCAGACCTGGGTCTGAAAATGGTCAGATTTGTGGAGTTCAGCCTCAGCAGCGTTAAGTATGTCAAGGCCAAAAAGACTCCAATGTCTTCGGCATTGGCTTCGGCCTCCATGGAGGTCTCAATCTTCTCCAACGGCTCCGGCGACTTCGGCAGGGCCCTCGGAATATGCCGGAGAGAATACGCGTGGAGGATCGGCGAGTTTGGTGTCAGCCACTCCGATGTATATCTCTTGTCAACATTTGTCAACTACAGTAGTTTCAGAGCAGATGGCACGGGACCCCCTAGATGTCTTAGACAAATGGGGGTCCACATAAACCAGGTTGGGGGCCCTTGTGCCATCTACTCTCAATCCACTATAATAAATTGATGCTCTGGAACTGGAGATCTTGTGCTGAAAACCCATTTCTTGGAGTTCCCGACAGATCTCCGCGGCAAACAGAGTTGTTTCCTCTCTTTTTCCATCCACGAAGGCACCGAAGCCGAGAAGTCGAACTGCTTTTGTTCACTCGAATCGACCTCTGCAAGCGGATGGGCGGGCGTTCGTTTCGCGTCCTTCCTCTCCCCAGTGACACCCTCCGACTGCCACTCTCTCCAAGAGGCGGCTCTTTCTTGGGCTTCACCGGCTCGAGACTCACACCCGCAGAGTTCGGCACCTTTCCCTTGGCGATCGCGTTGCGCGACGTCGCGAGCTCGAGAGTTGACGCTGGCACCACGAGCCGCTGGCAGAATTCGAAGCAGTGGGGCGTGACCGACCAGCGAAAGCACCGGACGACCATAGGTGGTGGGTGGCAACCAATAGACGATTGTGAGATGATCGTAACGCATGGCTTTTTGCTGGAGGCTAGACAGACCAAACAAGTATTATAATATATATATATATACTAGTTAATATATATATATGTATATCAAAATTAGGGTGGTTACGCCATCCTTTACACCGATCTGCATCTATGTAATTGTCCTGAAAAATTATTAATTGCTATGTGTCTACTACTTCCTCTGAAACGATTATGGACAAGAGATGACCACAATACTACACTGCCTCATCTCATGCAAATCCAGAACGCACCACGGTGGATCTTTGGGCCGCACATAGATGTCGTTTAAGTTTAGATCAAGTCGGATCAGCATAAGCGTGGAGCCACCTTGCAATATGGTGTTTGAACGAACAAACAAACATACATACAAACAACACAAAACAAAACAAAGCAAAAAAAAGCTGCTCAGCTGCTAAAAAAAGGAGAACGTCTTTAAAACATACCTAACGACGCCCTCCCGCGCCACGCGCAGGTCACGCGTCGTCCGGCTGGCTGGTTTTGGGGTCGTCCAGCCTTGAAAGATCTGGACTCCCGGAAAGGTCCTAGGTACGTGTTTGGGTTGCTGAATGTCTCAACCTATCGTGTTTGGGTCACTGAATGTCTCGGCGACATCGCCACATCGCAGGTCGACATCGCCATCTCCGACATCTCTCTCTCTCTCTCTTTTTCTCTCGATCCTCGATCCGCACTTCATCGAAGTAGTATCTCCGAGCGGCCACCTGAAAGCCGCTATCACGCAAGAGTTCGTTGGCGCCTCGGGACTCGGCGATCCGCGCCGGAACGGCGGTTGAACCAACCCTCGGAGGGGTTTTGGCTGGTGAAGCCAAGAGGCAGAGCAGAACCTGGTCGAAATGGATGTGGCTCAGAATTTCTTAGATCCAGAGATCCAGACAATTCAGGGATTACAAAGCTATTGCTACAGCCCGCGTTTCCCGTAGAACATCTGCAGGTATCCATGATGGCCGACTAAGTCAAGAAGAAAAGGGTTGAAGCTGAGCGCTTCCCATTGGCCTTCACCAAAGAACTCCAGGACTACTCCAGTCATGAAACTGAACCTCCTCTGTTGCCAGGTGGGAGGAATCGAAAAACCGCCAGCTCCTCTCGTCCTCTTCAGCCGTTCAGGGAACCGGTCCCTTGCGTCGCCGGTCCATCTGACACGCGTCGACACGCGCATCGGGAGGGACCGGAGGACCGGAAGGGACTCATGTGACTGGTGCGGGACGCAAACACCTGCAGGATCCCTGCAGGAAGGGATCCTTCAAGACATGCACCAAACGACCCCAGGAAACCTCATAAATAGCATGAACCTTTGGCCCCACCCTAATCGGCGGGTCGGCGGCTGGACATGCTCACGACATGCGCCGAGACACGGTCTACATCTTCGTTCATCTCATTGACCACTTCTGGCGGCGTTCAGAGGTAGGAGGCTCTTGAAGGCAATGCCCAGGGTAGGGCTGGTGCAGAAACCTCTGTTTGAGGGTGGACCATCAAGAGCATGCTATGGAGGTGTCCTTTCGATACTGAACTGTCATACTTAGGTGTGTCAATAAGGGCTAATATGAATGAAATTGCTGAGATCATGTTAGTTTTGGTGTTGTGATAAATGCATCCAACAAGTGGAATGATGTTGGTACCGTAAAATGCAGACTGGATCATCCAAGAGATATCCTTTCGATATGATATCTAGGTCCAGCCAGGTGACCACGAAATTCGGGACGTGGCCTCACCAGGCCCTAGTAAACCTAGTCAAAGTTCGAGCACTAAGGAGGAAATCAAGAAGTTTGTCCTAGTAAACCTACTAAAACCGAGTAAAACTATATATATACGTGTCTAGTACCTGTTTGCATCATCGGTGTGGCTTGGCAGACTCGACTCGACTCGATGCATCGGTTTGTTGGCTGAAACCGAGCCAACGGACTCGGTAGACACACCCGTGGTGCGCGTGGAAAACATACGGAAACAACCCAAACAATCAATGCAACACAATGCAACACAAGCATGAATGGAGATAAATGGACACGCTGCTTGCGAGAAAATGGAGATTCAATTCAATGGGCAGCGGTTTCATGTCGCCCATGTCGCCCAGAAATTGGCAAGCAATCACCTGAAGGTACTCCAAAACTCAAACAAACCGACCGGAGAGCATCCCTAAAACCAAGATATAGTCATCCACTTCATCACTGCAGAGGCCACTTCTTCACCCTGCACCTGATCCGCCGCGCCTTTCCAGGGCCGTCGTTCGGCGCGGCCTAAGTAGCGGATGCGAAGCCTCACCATGTCCTGACCGCGACGGGAAGTCGAACCGCGACCCAACGGGAGAAGTCGGGGCGGCGGACAGGGTGGGGTGGGGTGGGGTCGGATTGCATGGCGCATGATGCCAGGATTGATGGGCATGGTTTATGGTGTTAACATCACTTTGAGTGCGTGAAGCTTTCAGGAGTGGTGCCACGAGAATCTGTCCCACGAAGGAATAAGGAATGCGATCCTCAGGGAGCCTCCCAATTTCACAGGATGGGTTTCTCCAGAGCACCGGGGAGGAGAGTCCCCCGAGAATCGGGACCCTTCTCGCCATCCAAGGTCGGTGGTCTGACCTGCTTTTGGGTGTATATAGCTTAATCTATCGGGAGACCGACACGTTGGCATTCCGACCGCCCCCGTGTCCCGCTTCGCGACCTCGACGGAGGGCCACCCGACCCATCACCATCGTTCCCGCCTGCACCGCCTCGGTGCACACACGGAAGAGGCCCTGGGCCGGGCGGGGCGACTGAACACCGGACTGGACCGTTTGAGAGGCCCGAGACTCGAACGAGGGTATATATATAACCAAATACATCCAAAATACCATACTGCAGGTGTCTTCGATCTGGAGTCAGATGTCTGGTCCCAAAAAATCGCGACAGAGTCTCCTAATATTTGAAGCCACAGATGAGTCCGTGTAAGAGAAACTGAGATTCCTCTATTTAAATGAGAATGGCCAGAACCGGCCAGAAATGACCCCATATTTGACCCAATAAGTTTGGTTGGTGAATGCATTTGCCGTGTTGTTTTGTTGGTAAAAAAAACAAATGGCGCATCATCTCAAATACAAACACATACAAATAGCATGCAGTACTGACATATATATATATATACATGTTAGACACATTGCATGACCAAAGTTCCTGTCATCGAAACACCATGCGTCGGCGTGGCGGGCTGGCCCCACACCGAATGGATGTCCAGCCCGCTCGTCCATTCGGTGAAGGTCTGCCGTTCAAACTGACATGGGCCAGGCCGTGAGTTCGGAAGACCATGGAAAACCGAAGACCAAACAGGGGGATTCATGGGTGTTCCACTTCAATGTTAGCTTCAGAGAGAGTACCATCCGGCTGGTTTGGCAATTTCCGGTGGATGTCACGTGATTCCTTGGCTTCCCGAATGGATGTCCAAGATGGGGAAGATCATGGAAGATGTCATGTGGCCATCCTTGGATGTCTTCGAATTCTCCATCTGTGGGCGGTCTTTTAGGCTGGTAGACCGTCCATCAAATGAGTTTTTCAACATCAAATGCCCCCAAGGACTTAACCTCAACCAATATTCTCCTGATCATATTTGGGTACAGTATTTGGGTACGTGGACGTAACGAAGTCTCGCATCGCCTCCCTGGAATCCGCCTCCTGAGAAATGAAGCCCAAGTTGTAGACATGGATGGCAGCTCCGACGTAAGTGCCTCAGGAAAAAATCGCTCTGCAGAAGAAGACAGATCACCACATCAGATGCCCAGCAGTTCCTACTCGGTCGCCAAGATTGCCAAGGGAGATATTGACATGTTGTTGAACTTGTCGAAACCTTTATCGACACTTCTACTATCTTCTACTACTGTGTGGTTGTTCCAGTCAAACCAATCAACATGTGTATGGTTCGAGAGCCCCTTGTAATCATGCTGTATCTTTGTGTTCTCTACGGTACAGACTATACCTATTTTATATATATACTATTCTTCCAAGGATCCTCTCTGTTCATTTTCTTAAGATGGACCTCGAGCCCAAAGTACAACCAATGTTCTCGATCGAGTACCTAGCTCCGGCTCAGCTGTTGGAGTGTTCGCTCAGAGTCACCTGTTTGTGTAGAGGAACATGGTCGTCCGACGGCCCAGGGATTCCACTTCTAGGGATTGGTAGGTCACTTTGCATCTCCCCAACAATCCGCTTCATGGAATATAGCGTGGCACTTGTTCCTAGTAGCTTCTTGTTACTACTAGTAAGGCACCTGTTACTACTAGCGTGGCACTTGTTACTACTAGCTTATGACATACATGGATCCCTTCAAGATCTCAAGACTTCCCCGTGTAGGCAAACCTTCCATACATGGCGTGTCGAGTGTCGAGTGCCTTACCAATCCGGGGTCACAGGCCCCATCCGAATCCTTACCATGAAACTGCCTGGTTCAAAGATTTGGTCTAAGCGTTTGGCTGTGGGAGGGACAATCGTTTTTTTGCTAATCCCCCCCATTCCACATCCTGGGCCATCCAAGCGGTAGAGGTAGATGCCTCTGGAGGCATACTCCTGCTGACCCCCATCGACGAGGACGTTTCGGATCATCGAGGGTGTCTTTTGGTCTCCGAGAAAGCTGGAGTCACTCGACGAAAAGAGGTAGAGTGATCAAGTCAACTGAGAACCGCGCGAACGGACCGTAGTTGCATCTTGAAAACGTCGAAGACAAACAGCACCCCGAATGTGCCCTGGCGTTTTTCTCCTCCTTCGCCCGAGCATGATCCTCGAACTTCTCCAACTCACTAAGCTGCTCAGCAGGATCTGCCACCTACCAACCCGAGCTGGTGGCCAGCAGCTTCAAGGACCAAGAGAGGTTCTATAAGTGACCGCAAATACGACCCGTCACCTGGGGTCCCTTTAGGATACAGTATGTCTATTTATATATAATATTAGGGTTCTGCAACCTCTGTTGCGACCGTCACCCAATTCATCCACCTCTCTCTAACTCCTGAACAGAATCACTTCAAAATTCCATATACCGGATCCATCTGCCGTTCCTCCCACGGAGATCGCAGCAAAGAACGTCGAGGTGGAGACCATGCCGTACCTGGTGGATGAAAGCAGCGGAGACCATGCCGCCCACGCCGGTGCCCTCGCCACCGACGTTCATCCCGGTCAGCCGCTCCGCACACATGAGGTCCCCTTGGCCGTTGTCGCCGAAGAAGAGCATGGAGCACTCCTCGGTCATCGAGCGGTGGAACGCACTTTCAGGGGCCATAGTGGCTAGAGGAATCCTGAAAAGGGAGGAATGCACACATGTGTCCATTGGGAAAGATTATGACTGGAGAGTGATAGCTGTAATTAAGAGATGGCAATAGATTGCAAACGGTCAGTCTGTCCCAATCACTCGCTGCCCGAGATCAGACAAGGTTTTTTGATGGCGCAAACTACGTAGGTCCAACTCCTGCCCAAGAGCCCAAGGCACACTGTACAACTGCCGGTACTCCACGAACGATTTGATCTTATCTTCTCCAACAGGCCTCCAAACATCCTGCGGCTTCTCCGCTGCTGCGTGGTCCCGAGCTCCAGTGAGTGGTCCGGAGGACATATCCAGAAATACCGAACACACTGCCCTTATATGACCCAAAACATGGACCCCATACATCATATACTATATAGTGTATACATATATATATTATGTACCTTAGATGGTTTCACCAAATGGCCACCATCTTCTGCCGGTGAGAATCCAGCCGATGGGAGCTCTCAGGAACAAGATCCAGGAGAGCTTGGTGGGCCAAGGTCACAGGTGTTAACTTTGACGAACAGTTGGAACAACAAACTGACCATTCAAACACATCCAGACCATTCAGATCAATCTTCAATTTGCGACTGACCACCGCGATCACTGTTTACTGACTGTTACAGGTAATAGTACAAACCCAACGTGTACAATTGTCTTCCTGTGCAAACACTTGCTCCTAGCAAATCAGAATCGGACTTGGCACCAACGGAAGGGCCAACCCGCACCCCGCGCTTTTCTGGGTGTCAGGAAAAAATCCAACTGCCCGCTACCCGCAGCCCAGGTCACCGAGTTGAGCCGAGGAACATTAACACGGCTTTCCTTCCTGGGCTCATTCCGATGCGGTGCGGAGGACGTGCGGCGGATGTGGAGTGGACGCGGAGTGGAGGGCTGACCGTCCGGGATGCGGGATGCGGGCGAGCCTTGGGCCCTGTGGAGAAGGATTCTGCGGTTTAGCCACTGGCTGTTTAGCCGAAAAGCATCGAAAAGCTAAAGTTTGGGTCGGACCAGCTCACCAAATCACAGAACCAGGGATTGTTTGGGCCAGTTGGATTGAGATTCCATCTTCAGTGCATGTCACATTTCAACCAGGAAGAACCTGGATCTGTATAAGATCTGTATATATATATATATTACTGTTTTTATCGGTTACTCCCTTTCTGTATCGCGCATATCACCCTTTCCGACCTTTTTTGTTGCTACCAATAATATCGAAAGCACATCCAATGATATCCGACATGGGAGGTTTACCTGGGCTGGTTTTTCCGTGTCAGCGACCGTGTCACATCGTCCAGTGGTTTGTTTTCGGTGGCAGAGAAAGGCCGTCTTCCAGGAATCCATGTGAAAATGGAAAGAAGTTCCAGGGGGCTATCAACGCCCCAAATCACCTCTCTAATGGGCCATCAATAGAAACCCCTGTTCCTTCTCCGCCGGGGTGAACAGGCAGGCAGCCCTGTTGAGCCAGCACAGCTTCCTGTGATTCTGCCAGGGGGCCGCAGGCTGCTGGTCGCATAAAAGCTCCAGATGACCAATACAGCAAAGGTCAAGAAAGTGAAGGGGAAGATCATGGGAAGAAGACCCAAGCCTGGATGCTGGTCGCTGTCTCAGCCCGGCACCAGAAAACCACACGAGACGCCCTTTTTTGTGATGATCAGCTTTCCATGAAAGCTCCCGCACCTCACCTGGGGTAGATGAAAGCTACCTGGTCCTCAAAACCCGCAATGGACTCCCCAGCTGCCATGCTCCGGCGAAAAACCATCCTCCCCCAGTTCGCAGGTGTGGCCGTAAACGTCGCCATGGCCGGAAGGGACCCGCCGTGACCGTCACTCTTCGCTTTTGTTGGCGCTTGTCACATCCTCCCATGCCAGGTCTGTTAGCTGCCTCATAAGATTCTAGGACAAGAAAGTGAAGTGAGCATGTCTTCTTTTTCATCCAAGCTCCTACGGAGACCCAGCTGTTCATCGCCAGGATGCAGCACCAACAAAGAAAGACTTGCAAAGAAGCTCCAATGAGCGTGGGCCGTGGGTACAGGAGAACCTGAGCGAACGTTTACGGCTGGCCAGTTGGACTTTGGGAGGAGGCAGTTCCTCAATTCTGGTCCAAATTCAGCGTTGCCAAACCCCAAACAAGCTGCCCCTGGATGCTTCTTGAGCCTCGCGAGGCACCAAGAGGGAGAAAAGCCAAGCCAACCCCGATGTTTCTGGATTCAACATCCAGCAGTTCCAAGGAGGTGCGATCCATGGAGGTAGTCGGGGTGCCCAGAACATCCTCTCACTGGATGGAACTAAACACCACCCCTTTGTGACTCCTGGATGAAGATGATCGATTGATGTTCTCCTATCTTCCTCGGACCTCCGTCCATCGTCGTCACCCGCCGCCTTGAAAGCGGCGGGTAAGCGCGTTACCGGCGGCCTCGGAGAGAGGGGCCATCGTGTTCCAGCTTGCGGGTGGTGTGCCAGCTGCCTGTTCGAGCTCCCATTCCCCCTTCGCCATGGCTTCCACAGGCCGCCACTCCCCCGAACCATGCCGAACCCGACTTCCGCTGGAGGTGACCTGAAAATTGCTCCAGGTGACCACTCCAAAGATGAACGCCAAGCCCGAGGACTTGAGCTTTCCAGCCAGAAGCGTGGGCATGCAGTGCCTGAGACTTCAGATGTGGAGCGAAAAAGAACTGCGATCGTCATCGACTTCATCTTCTCCTCCAGCTTTGGGCCAATCATCATGTGAATCTTCGGACCCCTACGTCCGAACCCCCCCGGGGACCGCAATACACGACCCCATCCGCCATATACGGACGAAACCGGGAAGAGTTTAGGGATACCTTCGTCCGGTCCCCACGAAAGTGATTCTGCACCACGACAACCCGATCAAACGAAAACCCATCGACCAACCCGGTCTTCGGATCTGTGAAACAGCCTCTCTCGAACCAACCCTTTAGGCCTTCGGCTCTGGGTGCGCCGTTCAGCGTGCGCCGCCGCCGGCAAGGTGCGGTGCCCAAGGGTTCGGTGCCCAAGGTGGTCGAGAGAACCCCCCCCTCCCTGGAGCTCAGTGCAGTGCGGCATCGCCCCTTTTTTGCCCCAAAAAATGCGGCATGAAAGGGCCTGGTCTCCGAAAGCCACTAGCGGTGGATAAAGCCGGATGCGTTTCACCGAATTGGAGGGTCGGAGGACCTACACTGTCTGTCGCATGGGGTCGGACGTCTTGATTCTTTTCAAGTAGTTTTGGACCAATCTTTCTATGGAATGGTGGCCTCCCTTCAGTGCCATTTCCGTGCTGGATCAGTTCGCTCTTTTCGACCTCCGAGTCTGGTGGAACTCCCAGGTACGCACATCTTGCGATCCACCAGCTGGTCGGCTCACGCCCATTTCTGTCGGGTACGAGCGGCGGTCTTGCGTGTTCTTCCCCAATCAACAAGTGTCCGATAGGGTACGACCAATGGTGTCTTGTCTGGCCTTCGCTTGGAATACTCCTGTGACGCCTGTGTTCGATGGGGTGCCCTCACCTGTGCCGCTTTTTCCAGGAGTTGGTACCAGTGATTCCCCTTAGTTGCTCAGCTACTCGCTTGCATATTTTCGGGTTTTCGCAGTATCCCCCCTGCCCTGCCTAGCAACAAAAAACGAATGTGTCCTTTAGACGGTTTTCCAGGAAGTGTATGTGTTGGTCGATTCAAAGAGAAACTGGTCAAGACTAAGTCAACCCTGCCTGTAGTGATCTGACTCATGAACTACAGTAACTACAGGTGTGGTACTGGTATCATCTGGTATCAGCTTTTACAAGTTTTTGGTGTTCTGGGCACTGTACCACAGAGCCGCCCACGAATTGGTGACATTCTAGGAGTGTTTCAGCTCCAAGTTTGCTTGTCAAAACCCGATTCTTGCGAAACAACAAAAGTCGCATAAAATAGCATTTGACCCTGTTTTCCAGATTTGAGATCGTTTTGGTGAACATTTTCTCTGAGAAAAGCCGGGCCTCGCAAACAAATCAAAGTACAAATTTGATCTGAACTACTCGACATCATGCCCACCTAGCCTTGTACAAGTGAGTCTTTTTGAAAGGCAAACTGTCCAGGTAGATGAAACCCCATCCGAGCCCGAACCATTTTGGACATTTATGGACAAGGTCCCCATATCAGCTCGGATCGTTGTTTCTGAGGGGTTGCACCATCTCTAACAAATCCAAGTCATCGTTCTGGTCTGTTCTTTCTGCTATCCAAAGACGTGGCGTGGCTAACAACCAAACTACCAAGCCCGCAACGAAAGGACCTCTGCTTTGGCCAAAAAAGTGCTTGTATATGTCTGTGGTATAGGCATGTATAGGTTGCCAAAATGATGGGTGATCTGCGACCACCGATGAGCGGGTTCAGCTAGCTGACTCCCATCATTCAGTTCGCTGACTCAAGTCCCTCGAGTCAAATTCCCCGCGCGGGGCTCAAGGCTAAGGGCAGCCACCCGCAGAAGAAACACCATCAGAAAGCGGCTAGCCGCTTGTGACCATGGCATTCTTTTCAACTGGGTCTGTTCCACACACGGTGACGGCAAAACTGGTCTTCTTGTGAAGACATTCGGGATGAGATTACGTCCGTACCGCAGGTCCGTTCTTCTCTTCCTCGGTGGCATGAAACATCGATCAGCCTGGAGAGAAGCGACCCCAATTTGCTCAACTGCTGTATGGAAGTACATGGCCCTGGGTACGTCTCCCAACCTTCCAACACCCTTCTTTGGGCATCAGGCCACTCTCACCAGTGCCCGTGGGTCCAGCGGCAGATGAGGCCTGTCCGACTCTTAAGGGAACGAAGATCGGACCAGATGGAGTCTTGGTGTTGACCACCACCCCAGGAATTTGCTTGGACAAATAAAAACAGCAAACAGTCTAACAGTCTAAACATGTTCACTGTCCTGTTGAACCATCCTCTCCGAAAACGCCCGGGACCCAAGAAAACCTCTCACTTTTGGATTCAACAAGGCGAAAAATCCATATCCAAAATGATCCAAGCATCCTTGGCATCCTCACCAGTACCCCCCACCCTCTGCCTCCCCGCATCTCACGCAAGGGATCTCACAGGGGTGGTGGCCTCAACGGCAGTTCAGACGCGCGGTGCTCTTAACTGAAAGGTAGGAGCGAATTCCATCAGCACACAAGTGGTCGTGAACATGTGCATCACACCAACGTGGCAGTGGACATTGGATGAAACTGGCCTGTGGGAAAGCGATGTTCCTCTGCAAAAAACACGGTGGTGTCCAGCTCCTTGTGAGTGACTCGGAGTGTTTTTGGCAGCAAATGATGGCCATCTTTCTCAGGCTCCTTTAGAGGTCTGTTCGTGACCCGAATGCTTTCATGACCCAACTCTACGAGAGCGGTACAGATGGGTTGACCGAACTCTGGAGGACAGATGGTTGTTCGTGGAGGACACCGGCCTCTGTCTGCTGGCCCAATGGAAGAGCTGAAGGCCTGGGCCTCCGCGGTGGAGCTGAGAGGTCGAACAGGCCACCAAAGCCATCCAATCCATCAAGAATAGAAGGAACGGAAACAAAGCCATCCAATCCAATGGGTATATATACATCAGCTTCAGTGTTTTGAGGAGGCAGCTAAGACAGGTCTGGAGACGTCTGGAATACATGACACATGCAGATACAACGACCTTACGCCAAAATAGGTCTCATCAACCCTTGAAACCCAACAAACCAGCCAGCCAACCAACCAACAGACGAATCAAACAAGAAAATCTACAAAACCTACTTGACCCATACAAAAGCAAATCTGCTTCGTCGTCTGCTACTGGAACAACAAAACAGCGCCTCAAAGCCAAGATCGGAGTCACGTCGCTCGCCCCTGTCTGTTTCCACCACTGCAACCATCCAAACCCCGACCGAGAATCGATTTCACTGCGAATTCCATCAGCACACAAGTTCGTTTCTTGGAACGTTCCTCCCCGCTGCGGGAGCGCAGCGCCTGGTTGCTAATCACCGTCCTCCTCCTCGTCCTGCAGCGCCCCCTGCCGCTCCTTCGCAGCCCTAGGCTGCTCCGCATCGCCCGAGCGAGAGCCACAGCGAGCGGTGTAGGGGGGGTCCCGAGCGAGAGCGCTTGACCCATGTCCAACCCTCACAGACTCTAGACACCATGGTGACTTCCTATAGATTTGGAGGGCCAGAAAGAAAAGAACACATCTGTGATCCTTGGATCAAAAGTTGCCAGACCACGGTCAAGCAACAATAATTATGCTGCTGTCGTTAGATCCAAACCCGACTCATTCAAAACCGCGTTGAAAGAATCACGTCTGCCTTTCAACGGATGGGTTTCATGGCTGATGGGGTTCAAACTTTTGGAGCTTCTTAGTTCATCCCACGAGTGTTTTTTCCCCATGTGAAAGTCTTGCTGACTCCAGTCGAGGTGGTCATTGGCAGCAACAAATCTGGGCCAAGGAACATATAGAAATGATCATCCAAAGAAGGGAGTAACAGCGATTTGGGGTTCCTGCCATGAAAAAGTCACTACACCACTTCTTCGTTTGGGGCGACCCTCCTTGATCTCTGCCGTTACATGGTGTCTTACAGTTTTTCCCCTTTTGATCGCGCTCTCTCGCCGATGAACGTCCACGTCCAAGGGTCATGAAGACCTCAGCTTTCGAGACGTGCGTCTCATCCCTCACAATGACCAGCGCCAGCAGCGACGACATGAAGAGGTCCTCTCTTTCAGCGAAAACGGTCACCCGAGGTCCGGACGAACGAAAAACAAAAAAACGGCGCAAGCGGACAAGGTGATGGAGAGCGGTTTGGACTCGAAGTTGGAAGAGAAAAATGGAGGGGTTCACCATGGTTCACCTGAGTTCACCCTGCAAATTACGGATCTTTTGGAGAGATCATAATATGAGATCATTGCCTGGGTTGTTAAGAAGTAACTACTGGAAGATCATTTTCCTCCACAAGTCATTGGGCTTAGAGATCTACTCTGTGGGAGGCATGTTCGTCCGCCCCAAGCAGGATCGGAACGAGGCCCTGAAGGATATGCAGGGGCGAGCTATAGTCCCGCCTTGCAAGAACGCATTGAGTTCAGCCCCTGAATTCAAAGCTGTGGTTCTTCAGGACAACTTTCGGCTTCAGAAAAAACCGGTGATACTGGGTACAAATCACATAGGGCATAGGAATTAAAGCGTTTTCTACATCCCCGTGTCATCCAAAGGTAGTAAAACTTTCTCCGCTGACCAAAGAAGACAGCACGCACTCAAGAACCTTCGCGCCCCGCAGTCTCCATCAACGCATAGGTGCACATCTGGCTGGCTTGTGAAAAATAGCCCGAATAGCCTGCAGCCGGTCAGGTGTTTGTCAGCGATTTTGGGTGCTCGGCACTCGGCACTGATTTTCTAACTAAGTTCGTTTTTTCTTTGCGCCTTGTAGCGGCCTTCAGATGAAGGTCTTTGGTCAACTGCTCAACATGTTTCACATGGAGTGCTCATGGCTGCTAACCTTGGCGTCAAATTTGTTGCAGATTTGATGGAACAAATTGGCCGGTGCCATGTCCTCCTTCCATTTTGTGGTGATATCCTGATTTCAGACAAAGGCTGCGCAACTGGGGAAACGCGCCTGTGGGTGTGGGGGGTGATTGGTTGAAGGAATGGGTCCAAATGATACCCCGTCATAATAGAGCGGAGGTCAACATATAATATATTATATGGCACATTCACTCCAGGACTCCAGTGAATGGTGATGGTCACAGCACCCGTGTTTGACAACGCCAGCCACATAGTGAAATAGTTGCACACGAGCAGTGAGAGTTTGAAACTTATGGGACTAGGAAGGTGAAGTAAGGGCAAAGTAGGGTTGTTGCTTGAAAACCGTCAATGAAACCCTTCTGCAAGCGGCAAACTTAACAGCAGGATATTTGGCGTCACCTTGGGTTTGATGATGTCGGTTTGATGATGTGTCGGTTCTTCCGGACCCCGCGAACGCGCCTCCACCCCGTGTCACTTGATGATCCATCGTTTGTCTGGCTTGTCCGGCCAGGATCAAACACCAGACTGGCCGTCAGTCCAACAGCTGTGCTGTTGGCGTCGTTTGGCGCCAAGGGGCCCACGGACTGCACAATGGGATGCAGAAAAACACAGCAGAACAACAGGTCAAGGCCTCAACGGATGGTGACCGGCGGTACCGAAGTCAGGGCATTGCATCGATGGTGAATATGGCAAGGAGGAGTTACACTCTCCCAAGAGCCACGAAAGTTCAAACAAATCTTTGTGGGGCGTCTGCCCTCTTGTACAACACCCTCCCACATGGAAATGCCCCAACCTTGGAACTGAAGTGGATGGCATGGCCGCTTGGACATTGGAAGACCGGATTTCAATCCGAAGCACGGGCGTCTTCCGGGGTTCTTCTTTCGAAAGCATCTTAGTTCCAGGGAGAGATCTGAGGCCCCAAAAAATGTTGGATGTTTGTCAAGAAGCTCAAAAGAGAGGTCAGACGTGGTGGGAAAAAGGGGTCTGATATGTTCAGAATAGTGGGCCCATCACTGGTCAGATGGGCATTGGCTGTTGGATTTTTGGATCCCAAAAATGCTCGATCTGAACTCGTTGGAGTGACAATTTCAACGAGTTGCGATGTCCTCAGAAGGGTGCAGACGTTGCTTCCTGCTGTGGTTTGGCCTGCTTGTGTCACCCGAAGGGTGGAGACGCCAAAATCACATGGACCCTCCACCTCTTAAACTGAAAATGCCCAGGGGCCCTAAATTGAACATTCCGTATGATTTCAACGGCCCAAATCAAAAAGGAAAAAACGGCTAAGCTGACCTGTTTCTCCAGCACACCGGTCTGCGGGGGGCTCCAATTGGAGTAGATCCCGGCGAATGCAGTCGAACGCAGGCCCCCCTCTCTGGTGAAAATCAAAGCGAACCTAACCCACTCCAGTGTGGTCAAACCAGACTTGGTTAAACGCACGAGTCACTTTGTCTGACCAGCTTGCTGGGGCGCAGTGGAACCCCGAGTTCCCAATCATTCAATTTCAACCCAAGCGTCAACGTTTGTGCCTTTGCGACCAGAATTTGCTCCTGGGCTTCAGTGTCTCTCAAACTCAGTCTTCAGTGTCGTCTGCAGCTTCCAAGTTGTTCATCAGGTTTCATCAGTTCCTTCTCCATGATCTCCTCAACCACCTCGTCCGCCAGTTGATGTTGTTGTTGTTGCTGTTGTGGTGGTGATGGTGGTGGTGGTTGCTTGCTGTTGGTTGCTGTTGGTTAATGGTCAGTTGTTGGTTGGTTTGCAATTTTTTGTTTCCACAAGCAGTTTACTGTTTGGGTTCTTTCTTATAGAAGACGCTGGCCACGGTCTCTTGAACCTTGTGTCCGGGCGTTGTCCTCCTGCTGTCTCCTTCTTGTCTTCCAATTGTCCTGGTGTTGTCCTACTGCTGTCCTCTGGCCGTGCTCTGGCGAACCCTGTGTCCTTCTCCCTCTGGCCACATGTCCTTCTCTTGTCTTCCTTGTGTCCGCCTGCTGTCCTCATGGCAACGCCTCTTGTTCCACAAGTGCTGGGGTTCTCTCAGGAAAACAGGGCTGGCCACGATAGCCGTGGCCGCAGCCCTCTTATGCCGTGTCCCGGCCTTTTCCCGCTGCTTGGCCATCAGGGTGGGTTTTCTTGTGGTTATTAATGCAACAGTGATGCAGCGTTTCAAGTTTCAAGTCTGGTATCATCCTCAGATTGTCTCCAACAGGAAAGTGACCCAAACAAATCCTGCTGAAACTGTTTGGGGTCTACGCTGGTGTTTGCTTGCTTGCTTGCTTGGTTTGTTTGTTTGCTAGTTAGCTACCTAGCTAGTTTGTTAGTTACTTAGCTAGCTAGTGCTTTGTTTGTTTGGTCATGCTGCTCACTCGTTGCAAAACCCCGCACCCCCACAGGTTGCTTGTTCAGCCATGTAACATACAAACTGTCGCACTCACTTTTT